CTGTCAAAACTCATACAATCACAACACTAAAGAACCATAAATATTTCAGGGCCAGTCAGCTCTTTCCATGTTTCCTCTCCACCTCCGCTGTGGCAGCTGACCCGTTGTCAGGGCTCCGGGGTGAAATAAGCTCTCCAAAATAAACAGGGGAGACCCAGAGAAATAGAAAGACAGCCGCTGGTATTCAAAAAGCGATAAAAACACAGTGTGAGGAAATTGTGCATTCTCCATGGTAGCAAAGTTGAGACTACCTGTTGGCCGTTGCAAGACACAGACCAGTTATTTGCTGCTTTCCATTCTGTATGTTGCATGCAGTGACCTGGCATTTTCCATGTTCTCTGACTGTGCCTACAAATCTTTTAGATTGTGTGTTTTTAAGGTCTGCTAGAGGCTCCCACAAATCACTTTTTCAATATCCTTTAAGCCGAAGGCACAACAGTCATAAAGGGTCTGTAGCCGGTTAAGTTTTCCTTGCAGGGCAATTTTACTGAAAAGATTAAAGACCTTTACTCTCGCAAAAAGTTTAATGCATAAAGTTAATGACTTTTATGAGCTTTCATTTTCAGCTTCCACTTCATAAACTATAAATATACTTTCTTACAGTGTTCAATTCTCATACACTCTGATGCACATAATTAGTGAAGTTTGTATATTTTGCTTTTGAGTATGGACCTAAGACCTAAAATCAAGGTAGTGTCTAATATTATAAGACTCAAGGAAAGTAACGCATAATTATTTAATAATTAGAAGAAAACAAAAATCTACTTTTGGTCTTTTGAGAAATATACTTATTTGCTCTCTTGCCAAAAGTTAGATGAGAAGATGGAAACTCATATGCCTGTGATGGTAAATATGTAGCTGGAGCCAGCATTCGGTTAGTTTAGCTCAACATAAAGACTTTAAACAGTGGAAAAGATCTAACCTGGCTCCGCCTGAAGGTATCAAAGTCCATCTCCCGACACCGCTAAAGCTTTCTAATTAACACATTATACCTTGTTTGTTTAATCTGTAGAGAAAGTGTTAATCCGACATTTTCACGTATTCCATGGGGTTATGTGCTGGTTGGCTGGCAACTGCTTCAAGCCGTGGAAATAGTCTGGCACATAACCTCCTATAAATCGGAAGTCATTTCAACATCAGTTTTTGTATGGTTTAAAGTCTTTTAAGTCTTTATGCTATGCCCAGCTCACCAGCTGCTGGCTCTGCCACATATTTACTGTACAAATATGAGAATCAATCTTTTCATCAAACTCTCAGCAATAAGCAAGAAAAAAGGCATGGTTTCCAAGATAGTGAACTATTGCTTTAAACTACCCTCAGTGCAGTTCCAGAGCAGGATGTTCTGATCAATACATCCGATAAGAAGGAATGTTAATAATAAATACAGTGCTTAGCAGCATGTGACTCAAGGTCAACCTCTGTCTCTGAACATGATGGAGTAGTTCTCTCACACAGCTGGTGCATTATCCTAGCCTTGGTTATGCCTTATTAATATGTTATTGGGCAGAATATAGTAAGGGCAAAGGTCCATATCAAGTTTCAACCTGCAGATGATTTGTAGCTGTGTTGTATGTTACTGATACCTTGTGTTGCTAGCCTCCGGAAATTTGTCGCAGGATGTTGGAAATAAGATTCCCATCAATGGTGTAGCGCAGATGAAACCAAGCAGATCTGGGGCGGCTATTAATGGATGGAGGCTAATTTCTTCGGTTTTCGAGGCTGCTGACAATGAAGAGCAGAAGGTGAAACTGGCGGGAAAACAAATGCTGAGCCAAAGAAATGTTTGCGATGTGATCTGTTCCAGTACACCTGAGACTTGTGGTTTAATAGTAAACATGAAACAGAGCAAATGGATTTCATTACAGTGTAATTGTACTGCTCCTTTCATTGCCTGCAAAGGCCTCGTCCTTGAAAAAGTGCTGTTTGATGATGATAGATATCTTATTGAAACAATTAATCTTCTACACAAAACGCCTCACAGACTCAAAGTGCACCTGGGATTTGAACATCTCGTTTTTTATGGTGATTCCTTTGACATTTTTTGCTCAGTTTGTGGTTTCTGATTATTAATTGGTTTGTTTGAATTTGGGTACATTAACAATTTTTATGGCTACAGTATCAAACGTTTTGTTGCTTTGTATAGGGCAGCATGTGTCTTTCTTTTCTATTATGACCAAATGATCCGAAAGTAAAAAGCACAAAATATCTTCAAGATAAATCTATATAAATAAGATTGGTGGGTTCTGCTCTCACATCCATGAAAATCTGGTCAAATTGCCAATTTATTGCTCTTATCTTGAAAGGTACGTCTTCAGGCAGGAAAAAGAGAGAGAGAGAGACAGAGGGAAAGAAAGGGAGCGGTAGGGGAAGTGGAGAGATCATTTTCCTCTAAGGGATGAGTGATTTTCCTGTTATCTACTAATCTTCAATTACTCAATATCCAGAACAATTTTGGCCTCAATCAAGTGATCCAGTGAAGCAGAGTTAAGATTTAAGCAGGAACAGATGAAAGCCTTCAGGACACATGTTGCTAACTCTTTTGCAGGAGAGGTTGGTGACACTGGATTTGTGTGTTTAAGTTAAAGGCACAAAATGCAGAGGTTGAAATTGTTTGGTCATTCATAAACATATCAAAAAATAAGAGAGAAAGCAGCCACACAGTTGTGGCGAAGACAACACACCCATGTTTCCCACCTCATGCTATTGTCTCTCACTCTGACCCGTTTACTCTCACGACCTCAGTCTGGTGTTTTAACATAAACTGTTACCGGTGCAGCCTGGCTTTAAAACCTGGCCAAAACAAACCTACAACAGGACCTATTTAATGGATTTCTGATAGCAACATTAGAGGTAATCTGTTTCCTTTCTCTAGAGCCTGGTGCAGGCGTTTGGGAAAATACAAAGGGGCACATAATGAAACTGTAATGGCTTGAATAATGAAAATCCTCTCTAAATGAAAAGGCAGAGTTAATAGAGTTCTAGTGCTGATGATACACAGCATCCAGCCGGTGAAGTCACTGTACTGGTTTTACCGTGATAATGTATGTGAATGCCACATGAATAAGAAAGCTTGTGTGAACATCACTTAATGTAATAAGTACATTAAATAAGTGCAAGTGTTGTTACAGTCTGTCCTCCTTTACCATCCATGCCTCATTTTTCCTGGAGGTTCTTGAATATTTCATTCTTTAATATTTAATAGAAAAGAAGACTCTCTCTCTCTGCTCTGGGGTTGTAGGTCATCTGCAGTAAAAAAAAGAATCTTACAGATGTAACTTTGAATGAGTTAAGCTCAGAGTGGGTAAGGGTATGAAAAAAAGTCTAAGTTGACTTAATGGGTAAAGACTGCCCTCTCAGGGTTTACTACGTCAATTGCAGTTAACATGGTTGCCTGACTTGCTCAGTCATCTGGCTGTATATGCAGTGTAGAGCAGAGAAAGATCCATGCTGACATTCAACATCACATGTGATATTATCACAAGGAATAAGGATTTAATTGTTGTTTTCTATGCACATTTAATAAATGGGGCATATAAATGGGTTATAACACACTATAATGTAAATATAAGGAAAGATTTAAGTGTTTCTTAATGTATTTGTCAACAGCTGTAACTTCTCATATGAAGCATCCGCAACTGGTGTTGTGAACAGTTAGGGAATGATCAATAAATAACACATATAGCTGTAAACATAATAAAATATTTATTAAATATATATACACATGTATAAATCATTCAAAGGTGGGCTTAAAACTATAAATTAGTTTGACAAAACATCTTAACTCACTAGATTTCTCTGGGGCTTTCTTGCAGCATCTTGTGACCTTCATCAGCAGATGGGGTTTGAAATGCATGAATAAATAGTTAGGTAATAAACATACTAAATCAATATCACTCATATAATGCATATGTTATACATATAATAACTGAATACTTTTGATATTTTTCAAGCATGAAAACATATTTCATATGTGTTGTACACAACTGTGTTATATTGTATTATTACCCATTAACTGTTTAGGAGTTATAGTTGTTGACAAATACACTACAAATGTCCTTTTATCTTCCTATAACTACATTATACTACATGTGTAATATAAACCATTTATTGTGTGTTTGCTGCTTATAAATGTTAAATAGCAGGTGTTAAAATGATAGTGTTACTGCTATTTAGCAAAATAAAAGGCAAAATTAAGCTTGAAGTTTCATTATTGAGTTTAAAAACCAAGTGAGATTTGGACAAGGGCCACTTACTGGAATTATCCAAGTATCATCCATATACCACCACCAGAACTCCATTCTAGGTCACATAACAGCTGAACTGTGTCCCTGGTTATTCAGATCATTTAGTGATAAGTAAATGTGGCAACAAGGCTAGCATCAGCAAAGTGCACTTAAAATTTCAAAAGTAAAAGTAACTGACAGAATAGCTCCTTTCAGTGCTATATTATATTATTAGATCATTAATATTGATGCATTAACATGGAAATGCTAAAGGTGGTTGAGATGGAGCTGCTTTCAACACTGGTTCCCTTTGGGTTCATGTCAAGGACCCCCACAACAGAACCACAGAACCACCAGTCTTTATTTTTAGGTTTGAAGAATATAAAATCTTCATAGCCAATTCCATTTTTTTTCCCTTGTTCAAATTTCCCCAAAAATTTGATAAAAGGTAAAATATTGTATTCCTATATACAACTATATAAAATATACTTTTGCTTCAAAATTGAACTTAAGTGCACTCCACTCTCCACTGCTACCCACAGCATATATTAAATCCATCCATCTTTCATTCATCATTTATACAGCTATCTATTTAGCAGATAATGAGCTTGTTACCAGAGTCACACAATCTTGTCAAACAGGGACCATAAAAAACATGATACATGATATTTTCAGGTAATTCTGTATCGATTTGGAGTTAGTTCCACTTTTACGTGTAGGCCCCCAGATGTGACAGCTGTGTCCTGCACTGTCACTTCCGTGCTGTGATTTGATTGGTTAAAAGTTGAAGAGCCACTCTCCCTCTCCGCCCCCTCTGCCCAGAGTCAACAGCCCGCTAGAAAGAGGACCTTGTTGTGGGCTGGACCGGTTCATTGACCAGCAATATACCGCAGGTCACAGCAGGACACAGGGGAAACAGACATCAAGTGAGGTCAGTGAGGTTTTGACAGCTCAGTTTTAGTTTTTAAATCAACCCTCAACATCTCAAAGACGTATTGGCGAAGCTAACTAACTAGCCGTTAACTAGCTAACTTAACCTACTGTTCATGTTTATGTTAGCTTTAGTGTTAAGCTTTGAGGGCTGAGGAAACAACTTTACTTTGTTTGCTTGTTTACGTCCAAGAGTGACCATAAGTTATGATAAATGACAAAGAAAGTCCGGTTAAAAGAGGGTTGTTGTTTTGTCGAAGTCGCAATTAGTCATATGCTCCTTATCTGGGGTAAAGTTCATCAACTATTAACTGGAAGAAATGACAGCTGCTGTGGAGTAATACAGCCCTGTTGAGAGGACAATAAGGACAATTGTTGTGTTAAAAAGCAGCTTAAAGGAGGTTTCTGTGGGCTGAACAATATTTGTCCTATAAGAAGATTGCTTGTTTTTCCAATGAATGCCAATACAGACAGTTTTGTGTAAGGTGTCTTTGATTCATATGACACTGTGCTAAGACAGTGACCCCTCAAAATGAAGCCACTTCCACCTGTGACCTCTTGGTGTGTGGAAAAATGAACTGTTGGGATTTCCTCTCAATTTGTTTCATTTGAGGGATTTTTAGAGGCCTGAAATAAAATTATCCAGTATTTCACAAGACAAAATTAAAGACGTCATTTTGTGTAACAGATTTAATGTCCCCTCCTGACCCCTCACATTTACGTTGGGACTGACCCCCCACGTTGGGCTCTGACTAAATGCTTTTCATCCCTTGCAAATTAATCTCACTGATCTGGGTCTACAATATTATGTGTAGATAAAGCTATCATATGCTGTATAGACAGTTCAGTGTTTAAGTGCTTAGCTCCTTACTGTTGGTCCTCTGTGAGACCAGGGACAGCTGTAGGCCTCTTTAACCCACTGACTAGCACTGATCTCAATAGTTTCCTGGAAATATACAAGCTTTTCCATTTATATCAAAGGTCACATAGTGTTTCAGCTCCAAATTCTAGCATTCCCTTTTCTGAAAGGAGTTGGTGTTGCTCAACATTGTGAGGATGTGACAAATAGTCTTATAACGCAATAGGAAGAGGCCAGATAGCCTTTTTATGAGCGCTGAGCTGGGATCTCTTGTCAGTGAGATGATTATTTCCAAAACTCAAACAGCTTATTTTGTATTGCATATCAGCCTTCCACATAATATGTACCATGTCTCCGACAATTATCTCGGGTTCATCTCACACTTGATAGCAGAGAGTATAGTGTCAGACTTTGGCTTTGTAATAAAGCTAGTGAAGATCTTATCAATTGCCTCTCAGAAAAAACATCTTGCTGAACCAAGCTGTTGCAACAAAATGCAATTTGCAGTCACAAAGGGCACAGAGAGACTGTCTGGAATACCATAGTTCATGGACTCGGAGAGAGTATTTTATTCACCCTGACTTCTAAAATAATTTGTGAAATGAACAAACAGTAGTTCTATGTAAAGACCATCCATGGTTGGAGCTGCTCGGCTTCAGTGTAGTCCGCTGAATGTGAGACTCGTCTCTCCATAAACAGTTCTGTCAGGTGGATGTGTAGCCTAATCTACCTGAGCATTTACTGCATGCTGGCAACAGGTTACAGCTGGACAGCTGCACTCCTCACGCTACTGCTGCATGTTTCCACCAGCAGTATGATCATAGAGGCCATGTCCTTCTTGGGCTCGTCTGCCCTATACATCAGGCCGACCATCGCAAGTGCTTGTTAACACTGTTACAGTAAATACAGGTGGACTCCTCTGACATCTCCCTGTGCCATCTGGTAGAGAGTAAACAGATGTTGTCCACATGTTGGGAGCACCAGAAAGAAAAGGGAAAGATTTCTCGCTGCAGAGGGTTCTCTCCAGACAGCTGTCATGCCTCTTTGCTTTCCTCCTTGCAAATCTCCATCTTGTTGTTGATTGTTTTTATTATTGATTCATCTGCCAGTCATTCTCCTGATTAATTGGTCTGTAACATAATAGAATTGATTGATTGCATAATAAGAGTAACTGTTGCAGTCTTATATTACAGATAGAGGATTTTAGCCATGTCTCCCTCTTAGTTGAAAATGACTCCTTCTCCTCCTTACTTCAGTAGGAATAGAAGTATATAGAAATATAATTGGACAATTGATTGAATTAATTATGGGTTTATTTCACCCTTTTCTGTGACACAATTAACTATTTGATTTAGTTTTTTATCTCAGGCAACACTTCATTCTATTAATGCAGTAGGGTTTAAAGTATTTCACTTGAGTAATTCTTTTGGCCTAGTTTTCATTTAAAGCAATATTTTACATTAGTAGAAGTGCCGTATGGCTCAATATTTCATTGAACATTTTTCACTTGATATAAATTATATCGAGTTCCATTTTGCCTGCATGCCTTCATGTGAGCTTGTGAACAATCAATCACCAGCATTAGTGCCCTGCTGGTCCATAGTTCTTGGCATTATTCATGGCTTTTCTTTGACTCTAATCTATATTTTCAAATGAGACGAACTTCTGGGTCCCCAGGATTCCTTCGTAATTGATGTCTGTATTCCTTTTATGTTGTGGCAATCATCACCTTGAAGCAAGCATCCCTTTGAGAAACCGGTAGTTTTACAGGATACTGTGCACATACTAAGTATTAAGCTATGAGCCCCGGGCTTGTTTGTGTTTCAACTTCTGACATATTGATTGAATAGTTATATGTTTCTTTTAATAAATCTAGATGAAGAAATTAGTCTTGTGACTTGTCTGCATTACCATCAATAATGACTTTAAAAGTTACTGAGATGTGTTATTATTCCGACATATATTCAGATTTTCTTTGACACAAAGATAATCATAAAACTGTGAGTCTAGAAGTCAAAATAATAAAAAATAATGTGTTTAAATGAATAACTCACACATGCTTACACTACACATTGAGCCTACACTGGCCTCATTAATAACTATTTTCATGAGCAAGTTCAAAATGTTGACACTGTTAAGACTTTATTATTTCAGGATGCTATACAGTCTTAAAAATGCAAAAAATATAGCTATTGGAAGTTAACAAGAAAGACAGGAATCAACTTTGCCATAGTGTAGAGACTTGAATTGTTTGCTTGGCTGCACCATTTTGTATTTTAAGTGCAGTTTCATCCTCATTGCATCATAGTGTTGACAAATGAATTTAACATGGTTGAGTTGCCTCGCTGCCTATATTATTAAACCGTCTGACAGGACAGCGATTCCATTTCTAAATTCATAACACACACTGCTTCTCTGCAAGATAAAGTGTATCTTCCACTTAAACAAAGAATATCAGAGAGGAAGATTTATTTCATCATGCATACCGAGCAATGTAAGGTGAATCTCTGTTTCTGACACTCTATATTCCATGTCAGAGATTGAATCCAGCAGTCACAATGGCAGACAGCGGGAAAACTAATGAGACTGGAGCTGCAGCAGCAGAACCGGCTAATGGAGACCAGCAGGTGAGGAGCACTGTGACCCAAAATGACACCTATTACAAAACCGACTCATTTGAAGCTTAGAATTTCATGTTGATAAGCTACTGTGGGGAATCAATCATAATCCCAGAATGCTGAAAAGAGGTTTTTTTTACATAGTTAGGACTATATACCCAATTTGTATGTCCTTTCATTGACAGTAATGTATTTTTTGGTCCTAGAATGTTGTTTCCCGAGTGAGCAATTTACCTCTGGTCAGTTCAGCTTGCGAGGTGGTGTCCAGCGCCTACAGTAGCACCAAAGACAACGTGCCCTTGCTGAAGGGAGTGATGGATGCAGCAGAGAGCGGGGTCCGAACCCTGGGAGCAGCTGCCACCACGGGGTCCAAGCCTCTTTTGGACATTATAGAACCACAGCGTAGGTTCTTTTCTCTGTGCAAAATATGATGTAATACGTGTGCAACGATGGCACACAAATTTATAACATTGAAATGTACTATAGAGGAATATTGCAAGCTTGTTGCATATTAAAGGTGAGAAACTTGTGTCAGGTCCATTTATTACCTCTGGGCTAGAATATGACAAGAATAAAAAAAAAAAGGTTTCTTCTTCTAAGAACAGAGTTTCCAGATTTACACTGTAAACATTGAAACAGTCACTGTTTTTGGAGCTTTGTGCTACTTACCACTTTTATAGTTAGCAGGGATGAAAACTTTTAATCTTGTTCCTCTTAAATTCATTTCTGTTTCAGTTGCAACAGTAAATGAGTACGCCTTGAAAGGACTGGATAAGATGGAGGAGAAGCTGCCTATTCTTCACAAACCAGCAGACAAGGTCAAACATGCTACCGTAAAAAAAATACATTTCACTCTTTTACTTCGTTTGCCTTTGATCTTCTTTCTCGACCTTGTTACTTTGCATTTGGATTGATTAATTTATCATGTTAACCTTGATTTTACTATGTCTCATAACTATACAAGTAACGTAACTATTACTTGTACTTGTTATAGCATGTGTGTTAACTTACACATGTATCAAGACACTTCAAATATGGTTCCCATCATTAACTAGGTTTCTAGATAAGTCCACCAGTTGTATTTTACTCCAGGTAACCATAGCATCAATATTTACTCTTCACAATATGTAAACAGTTACTGTTGCTCCACAACTTCCCCAGCATCCACCTCATCCTTTTCTTCTCATACTTCTGCACCCTGTATTATCACTTGCTCTGTTAACTCCTTCTTGAAGGCCAAATAGTCTCACGTCTCGTATCTGTCAATAGGATAAGAGCTATGAGGAAAATGCGTAATAGCACCACCATTACACTGAGGACAGCACATAATCGCCTCTTTCTTCCTCAGGTGGTGTCGGACACAGTGGGTATGGTGGCAGGGGCAAAAGATGCTGTAGTGGGGGCTGTCATGGGTGGTGTCGAGCTGACCTGGGCAGCAGTCAGCGGAGGTATCCTCACCGCCATGGGCACCAGGATGGGCCAGATGGTCAGCAGTGGGATGGGCCTGGCACTGAGCCGATCTGAGGACTGGGTTGACCAGAACCTACCACTCACAGAGAGGGAGCTGGGTCAGTAGCTATCTGAATGTGGAAAGCATAATCAGTCCAAAAAAAAAAAAAAAAGCAGAGGAGGTGATAAACCCATATGTCCACTGCTGAGGTATAGACAGGTGTGTTTTGACAGTTGGATCAAATGAAGCTGAAACAAACTGCAATTAATTATTTATGGACAACGAGTGACCAGTTTGTCAAGTTTTTATGAGATCAGATGATCGTAAATAGGTAGTGTAGCTTTTCCCCCATGTTTACTCTAAAGCTGATAAGATAACAAAGACATATATAGTTGAGATGTATTCATGTCACAGATATGATGAAAAGTAGAAAGTATTCCATGTTTTTCTTTCATGATTCTAATTCAGCTGCTGATTATATTTTTGTTTCATTGCAGTGCCTTATAAATAATGCTGGTGTAAACAAAACTAGTAGTGACAAAGCACTTTTAAATTAGATTTAGTTATTAGTCCTTGATTATACATATCTGTCAATTAATGTGGGAATTATTACAACACTGTCTTAAATTTCTGTTTGTGTTGGGATCACTGAATGTACCTTTTTTTTTAATCATTTTCATAAACCTTTTTTGTTGTTTTTACATTACTGTTTTAAATTTGCGTTTGCAATGAAAAGATACATAGGAGACATTGGCATATGAAAATACATGGCAGTGGTATCTATTGATCTACTTTCTCTTCACAGTTTTGCTTTAAAGAGGAAAATAATTAGCCTTATATCCCTACCTTAAATTACTCCAAGCTTAATGTCATACATTATACATTTTAGCTGACATCACTGCCATTTACTGAAAATTAATTTATTCCTTAATTATTGCTGAACATTCTTCATTTGCACTATTTGCCATTTACTATGAGACTCAGTAGCCGACACTGTTTTTGCCTCACTGATCTATAGATGAAACAGCAAATTTTAAGAGACTGTCCAAATAAAGTATCATTATAAAGCCAAGGCAAGGTGATGTGGTCATGATAAAAGTAAATTGTACCACAGTGACTGGATCTGAGCACATGAATGGCTGTAGCTATTCATAGAGAGCGAGGCAGGACATTACAATGACCTTCCCTTCTGTGAACTTGGCCCATAAAGCACCTACAATTTCCAACACTTGCAGCTTTGACACCTGCTACTGTGATGTCATATTATCATGACAACCTACCATACTCCAATATCACAGTAATACTCAAGAGGCCGTCCACTTCCCTGATTATGGATGTGAATAAGATGCATCTGTATTAAGCAGCAGCAGCAAAGTACCCATAATGGAATTACTCTGGGATTTTTGATTTGTTCAGTGGTTACCGTGGCAAAGGCCCACCAGACTCACCGAAGTGGCTTTTAACAGAGACACAGGGAGACAGTGTGCGGCAGTAGTGTTACTTTGCATATCCCTTAGCTTCCACTGATGGACTGATGACTGGAAGGAGTAAAGTGGCTTCTGAGCCTTGTTGCCTCTCCTGAGGAGATGTGTTTTAACCCTAGCAGAGTCAAGCAGGCCGAAATGCAACAGATGTACCAGTTGGCATAGTGGGAGTGAGCCAGTTGTCCCTCCGTCTATGACTCAAAAGAAATTCAAAATTTAGATACACTCACTTTCTTTTGTGTATTTCTTCTCATAACAGTTTTAAACAAAAGGAGAGATCAAGAATAACTGATATATTGTTTTGAGTTGGCAAACCTGTGTATAGCCCATTGTGCTAAATATTTAAAGACATGTTAAAAATTCTAGATAACCTTACCACATAAAACCTATCTTTTGAAAATGTACTAAATTAACACTGTTGTCTTTCAGCTGCAGTGGCTGAACCTGCTACCGGTGAGGTGACTACCCTCTCGGCTAGCCCCAGCTACTTTGTCCGCTTGGGGAAACTCTCTGCCAAAGTACAGGAGCGAGCCCTACAGCAATCCCTGGTCCGTGCACGGCATGCCAGGGATAGCACCTATACTGCAGTGGCTCAGATTACCAGCACTCTGGACCTGCTAGAGAGTGCCCGTACTAGTCTGGGTACTGCCAGTAACCAGATAGGAGGAGCCTCCGAACAGCTGCTGCAGCGCTGGAGAGAGTGGAAGCAGAAGCAGGCTGGAGCTGGACAGACAGAGTCAGAGCCAGATGGGACCAAAGATGAGGCTGAGGTCAGGGCTGAAGCATTTGGGAATTGACTTAATGGTTTCTAACCAGATTATTTTTGCATTTCACAGCATTTTCAGTGTATATAGTGTACATATGCAGCTCCAAAGTGGCTTGAAATACTGCTTAAACAAATGAAAGAAATCTCAGAGCATGATAGGGATAAGAACAAAAGAAAAGTCTTGAAATTCAGCAGATCAGACACTTGCATTTTACAGGCTGACATTGTGTTGTAATGCCCCAACATATCAATGTGGGACAGGAGTGACATTACATTGTGTCATCAGGATTGTACAGGATGAGGAACCAACTGACATGTTACAGCTTTATTATCATCTGCAATTTAACATGCTACGTTTATCATTTATATCTATTATTATTCCCACTTCATGTTCACAGCAGCTGGAAGGGCGAGTCCTCTCCATGGTGCATGGTCTGAGCGACCAGCTGAAGTCAGCGTGCTCCAATGTGGTGACAAGTGCTCAGGGTCTGCCAGGTGCAGTCCAGGACCAGCTAACCAGTGCAAGGCGATCAGCTGAAGAACTGCACTCCTCTCTGGGGAACACCAGCACCATCACACCCCTCCTTCTGGAGCGGAGCCGTCACCACCTGACCCAAGTACTAATTGCACCACGCTTGTCTTTTCTGCAGTGTTTGGTTTTGCTGCATCAGCTTATCTTAATATAGTTTAGTGCTTGAAATTTGATTTTATTTCCACTTAACACAGTTATTCCTTCCATTGCATTTTTATTGGTGCTTAAATAATACCTGCAGAGTCTTATCGAACAGGAATTAAACCGCAACTTCTGCATACTTTACACAAATAAACATCCATTCTCAGGGGTGTCTGCTCATTCATATGCATGTATGAAACTAGGACAGTCAAGCTTATGTTGTATTTAGTAATGTACATATGTAACTTCAATATTTCTTACAAGATCTATAACTTTTTGAGGTCAAGTATTTGTTTTGGTTATGGTTTGGTAATTTTGTAGAAAGTAATACTAGTATGTGTTTGTTCCCAGGTTCAGCAGTCTCTGGATGGTGTCATGGAGTATCTACTAAACAACACACCACTCAACTGGCTGGTGGGACCTTTTGCCCCCCAGATCACTGAGAAGGCAGAGGGAGATGTGCCAATGGAGCAGAGTGAACCACACAACTAGGCTTTGTTGTGTTTCTCCATGAGCCAATCAATGCTGCGACAGAAGTTTGGTGTTTACTGTAGATGGACCATATATAACAAAATGCTTGCTTTAATGAAAGCTGCCTTAAATTCATGTAATGGTGCTTTCTTCATGATGCACTAAATCTGATTATTTGATGACACTAAAGTTGTGATGTAGTAGTTCAATTGACTAAAAGCTCTGACCTGTGGTCTTAGAGAATGTAAAAAAAAAAAAACGTGTGCACTTTATCATTTCATATTATCATTTATCTCGGAAGAGAAAGAAGTATTTTACATCGTTGAAGATTCTTACCTGTGCTGGTGTTTAAAAGACTTGCTAATGCCTAAATGAATTCAAAGCATTCCCAGAACTAAGCCAAACTGATGTTGCCTGTCAACACCAAGATCATTTTAAGGCAAAAAATGCATCTTTAAAGAGATTTAGAGTTCATAATGCTTCCATTTGTTTTTAGATTTGCTATTTTAATCTCAGTATTTCGTGTGTGAACCTTGATGGGTTCATGGAAGCAGCTAGTGAACTAACAATGAGCTGGCATGTCAATAAGATGTTGACGGAACACAATGTGTGTGTCACCCTTGAATACATTCATAAAAGTGTCCTTTCTGAGTTTTTTTGTTGTCGTGGTGTTTTTGTGTGTGTGTGTGTGTTTTGGTGGGGGGGTCACCGGGGTGGTGGACTTCGCTATGTTGGCCCGTCTGACTGAAGGGTGAATCGATGCTGAGGATGACGTCATGGTCGTTGTTTCGAATGTCGCGAGCTAGCGCTGGGTAGGAGGCCGCGCGCTCTGCTGAGGACACAACTTGTACAAATCTGAAGCCCAAGGTCGTCGACAGCCCCCGGTACCTTGAATTTCAGGTACTGTCTTCACCTTAGACCGATATGAGAGACCCCCCGCGGTCTGTAACAGAGTTTAAACCAGCTAGGACGCTGTTTTTTTGGGGGGGCTGGCTGACCGTGCTAGCGGTTCAGCTAACGTTAGCCTGCTAACACTCGCGTTTATTCGATTTAAAACATGAGATTTGTTTACAGTTTGTCGCTAAGGACGCTGTACTTTTTTATTGTCTTGATTTTTGTCACGATGGAGGGCGACTAGGCGAGTTTTGTGCTTCTTTTTGCGTTGGTATCCAGTGTCAGACAAAACGTCCAGTGTGGCTGTTTGCTAATGTTACACTGTTTGCTTTGAGCTATGCGAGCATAGGACGCCAATTGTTTTCTGCTGCGGACAAACTCAAACTGGGGACAGTCAGCTGTAAGTTGTTTAGCTAGATTGTAAGCAACGTTGCGCTTGTGTTTGCCAAGTCATCGGTTTAATTTGAGGGTTTCGTCTTAAGTTTTCCGGGTGGTTTTGTTTAGACATGTCTTTAGCTTTTGTTCCTTTTTGTTAACTTTGTCCTGATCAAAACATCTTGCTGTGCGGCGGAAGAAAGCACGAACTAGCTGAGCTAGCTTATGTTTTCGCAGACTGTAACTTGCCTTTTCCACTGTAACTGTGCTCGTTTCTTTGTACCTTTTTGTTTTCATTGCTGTGAAAAGCTTTCCACCTAGTTCTTGTTACAATCCCATAGCTTACTACTTTCAACACTCCTGGCGCATTGCCCTAATGTTACAGGAGGAGCATTACATTATTAAGTGATCATTTTTATTTTGTATTTATTTGCTGTTGTATTTTGCCATCAATGTCAGAGATTGATTTGTCTTTGACATTAATTTAGAAACATAATTCAGACTAAATTTTGAATGAAGTCCAGTTCTGATTTTGTGGCACAACTGGACTTTGTCACATTATTTGTGGTGTTGGATTTAATTTTGGGCGACGAAGGTATGAACCTGTCAGCCAAACCTTCATTAAAGTTACAATCAGTAGGCCATAAAGTTCACAAAGTAACATTTTTTTTTTCCAACTCTACTCTCCTGCTCCAATGCCAGTCTCCAAGCTCTTTTAGCTGAAAAAACTGAACAACCATGTAATCAAATAGGGAATGCTAATCATTTTGACTAACTTGTGCAACCCCATTTTCAGGAATATCCTCTCCCATCCCCCTTACCCCCTCTGTCAGAGCATGGCTCAGGAGACCAATCAGACGCAGGTGCCAATGCTTTGCACTATGGGATGTGGTTTCTATGGTAACCCCCGCACCAACGGCATGTGCTCGGTCTGCTACAAGGAACACCTGCAGAGACAACAGGGAGGGGGGCGATCCAGCCCCCCGGGAGAGAAAGGTAGGAAGATGGGAGAGACATGACCTATTAAAAAAAGCAGGGGGTGGGGTGCTGGATATGGGTCGGTTAGGTGGGGAAAAAACTGGAAGTTGGAACTATGGGGTCACTCAAAAACTGTACAGCCATGGGGGGCACTCGAATTTGCTAAAAGGGGTTGGAGAACAGAGGTAGCAGTAGCTGCCTACATTGTGGCATCAGAAAGCAAGAGAGTGACATCTCCATCTGTTTCACATTAACTCAAAACACATCTGATCATGGTGGATAAACCTGAGCAATGAATGGCTTACGATAAGATACTTACAAACGAATGGAAAGTCATCCATGTTCAGGGCCAAAACAACAGGTTCTGTCTTGTTCGTGCTATCAGACTGTTCTGTCCCCACACAGCTGCTACATCACCGGCAGGATCACCAGGGTCAGCTGGTGTGACTGTGGAGAGTACAACCTCAGAACCCAGTACAGAGGTGGCGGGGACTCCACCTGAGGAACAAACGACCAGGTATGTTGACTGATAGATGGGCAATTTGTCCCGGCCCATATTGTTCCAAAGAGTGCAGAAAAGATAATAAATTGAGAATCGGTGGTAATTTTGATATCATTCATTAATTAAGTAAAATTAGAAACATGGTATTTTGTGTTCACTGTGAAATGTTTTTAAGAAGCTGATCAGACAAATTAAAACTGTGGCCTCCTATACATTCTGTTACATTGGACCTTTGATTATATTGTTCAAATGCCTGCTTACTTGACTATAGTAAATTGAATAATGAGTAGATCAGTTCATCACTGGCTCCAGCACATTGTGTTGTAATGTGTTCTCATTAGTCCCTTCAGTTTAAAGTACATCAGCTTGCCTCTGCAGAAATCAGAGATGGACATCTACTATGTATATTCACATCTCACTGTTCAACATAAAACCTGCTGGGATTATGTTACAATCCTTTGGCCACTCAAGTATTTTTAACTTCACCTGATGACTTTGAGCTTTCTGGCAAAAACTCTTTGCCAGTCAATAAAAAAATTCCAGCCAGTTTTAAGGCGTTCATATACAACAGTTCGTTGTCCACATCTCCACCGCTATTTTATGGAGAAGCAGTAGGAGTGCTGTAATCTGACATATCTGCAAGCATTAGCATACCTGTCAACCAAGCACAATGCAAAGTCATAGCTGACTGTGGTAATGTATGTTTTATAACATGTATATTGTATGTTAAATTTAACGTTTATGTGATGTCTTTGTCATTTCGAGGTTTCTCAGGGCTCATTTTGTTTACATTTCTTGTTGCCTGTCTGAGAATGTCTGCTTTGCATTTTAATTTAGTCTGCACACATTAACCATTATAGACATTATGTGTTAGACATTTCTTTAAACAAACTGCATGTTCTTTGTAAAATGACATACACCATACTCTTCCATAAGCAGGTCTTGTTACACCTTACCTGTAAAATTGATTGATTGTGGTTGGTTAGTTAATTGGTAGTACTTGCCAGTGATTTCTAGTTTGATTTGAAATTTTCACCAAGTCTTCTGGTATTTCTGCAGGGTTTGAAGTAGAAGCACCTTTTTGTAGTGGTTAACAAAGGCACTAAGGATGTTCCAATCAAGTGTCCCCGTTGAGTGTGGTTTTGTCGGCTAATACCGATCAGGTAAAAATGCTTTGATCGGCACCGATACCGACTGTTGAGATCGGATCGGGGCATCCCTAAAAGGCAGAATTAACCATATCAAAGAGCTCTCTTGTTTAAAGTTGACATTGAAAGAAAGAACTGAGGAGTAATGTTTGCTGAGGGCCTGTTCTCAAAACTGCTTAATGTTGAATAATTGTTGCAGGCCTACTTTTTCTGCTTTTCCTACATTTCTTGAATGGTTTGCTTTAGTTATGCCAATAAATAATTATTTTTGAATTTAAAAATATATTATGTGATGGTTTAGAAACATTTATGTAGATTTTTTTGTATGATATGATAGATGTAACTGTCATTTGCTGGAAATAAACCAAACAAACAAGGACAATAGACCAGGATGAATCTCACAGAAGAAAATCAGAAGACTAGAGGATTTAATATTTGAGCAGTAATTGTACTGTAGTGTAATATAATACAGAGCACACATGCTTAGATTTCTGAGTTTCCTGGAAAACACAGATTACCCACATTATAATGAGCCCTGTTATCATAGAAGTTGTTCCAGTAATGGGTTTATTCTTCCCAGAATGTCTACAGAGAAATCCAAACTGTAATTTGTTCCCAGTGTGATGAAATTTTGGAATTATCAGTAGGGATTTGTGCCCGATCTGTCTGCATAATGTCATTATGGCTCATTTTGCTGTGTACCGTGTGTATGCGCTATCCCGTTTTCTGTAGGGCCCTCCTGTTTGTAGTTGCTTGTGTCTTCTCAAGTTGATTGTAATAGCTCATCCAAGGGCTTTCTCAAAATAGTTTACAGGGAGCATCCTGAAATGTATCCAAGAAATTTGTAGTCAGTCACAAAACAAAATGATGGGATAATTAATGCAGCCAAATAAAACAAGATTCAAAATATCAACATTTCTTCTGATATTTGTGGTGTTTCTGTAGTTGGAAAAACCTTCTTTATTGTTTGCATTGTGTTCACTTTATTTTCAGACTTTTTAAGTCATTCTGGATGGCAAAAAGAGTATCTAAGTTGTCTTGAAGTTGAAAAGTGCATCGCCAACATTTGCAGCCTAACAAAATATACACTGATAAATACAATTACTAGAAAATGAATGAGTTTCTTAAATTAAAAGTCCAGAAAAAAATGTATGTAATGTAATTCATGTCTAAAATGTATTTATTTTTGTTGTGATGTCAGTCCCAGCTCCCCCAGTCCAGTAACTCAACAGATGACAGCCATGAGCATCTCCCAGGATTCAGGAGCTGTAGACTCTGATCGAGCAGAGGCTGAGGAGGGAGAAGAGGAGGGTACTTCCAACAGCACAGGTAAACATTGCAAAACAGTGGTCCTTTCCCAAATCAATATCTACCCACCATGCACATAAAGTAGGTCACACTCACAGCTGTGGAGGGTACTACTTATTAAAAGTTCTGTTTTTACTACGTAAAATGGTCTAAATTCTGCACACACAATGGCATTAAAATGTTTTTTTATTCTATGTACTGCTGACAGTAGAATAAGCCACTATAAACCCATATAAAAGCCCAGCCATGCAAAAGAAAATATTGTAATATACCATGAAAGCACCAGAATCTCAAAAATGCTGTGCTAAAAATATTTTGTCATACTGCCCAGCCCTACACTCTATTATAAGTATCCCCAAAATCATATCCCATAAACACTCCAAAAAACATTATACTCTGTGATGATGCTTCCCAAATGTAAAGTATGTTTTTCTTTTTCATTTTTC